GGGGGGGGGGGGGGGGGGGGGGGGGGGGGGGGGGGGGGGGGGGGGGCGGGAGCACATGATATGAGGAGTACAAGGCGGTTTGCACACACCCACAGCTAAAAAATGGTAAGTATCCAATTAATCTTGTGTTCTGCTGCATGCCCGCGCACAGCTTGAGGGAAGCTGTAACCGAGACGAGGCCTTCCGGCATTCACTTTGGCAATCATTTAGTACCAGCGGATGCGGCAAAAGTGAGCCGACATACAAAGTTCGGCAGCCTCTGCAACAAAGTCAATTTCCTGCCCAACAAAGAGCGGCATCAGCCATGACGACATTCGATATTTTGGTACAAGATTTAACGAACGCGATCTACCAGATTCCCTTCAAGCCAGCCTCCGCTCCAAGCGACGACCGTCCCGACGCCCGGGAAGCCACTACTGCGGTCGGTTGTGCTCGTCGCAGGGGATTCACCGGCAAAGCAAACGAACGACTTGGAGCCCCTACTTCATAGATTCCAGCTGGTCAAGAAACACGCCTGATGCGCGCAGCGGGCTCGCTTCGTTCACAGCACGCTAACGGCCTCCTCATGCATCGGCCGACGACCACCATAGTTGCAGTAATCGCTGCAAATACAAGCAAGGGCCTTTCCCACAGGAGTCATGGCAATATTTTACCTCGAGCTCCTTCTTCTTGGACTTGAGCTGGTTCAACAGGGTAGACACGGTCTCTACCGAGCACCCGTCTTCCTGGCAGGACAGCGCCATCTCCTTCAACTCTTCCGCCTGAGGGAGACGCAAACCAGTTTCAGGGGCGACGACAATCGAAGCGAGTCAAGTTCGATTCTTCCCACAAAAGACGGGAGGGATCTTCACGACGTTGGTGCCCCAAAATATACTTCATCTGTGAAGTTAGGGGTTCCACGAGAGGCCGTGAATGTTCGGGTTGGAAAAACGAAGATGGAGCATGCCGGCAAAGCGTCGAAACCATGCTCATCAGCTCCCCCAATTCGAGTAGGCCATTGACACAAGACATGAGTGGCGTACCCCTTCGGTTCGGGTCTCTTGCGCGAGGTACAGCACACCGCGCCCGTGAACCCGCGCCGTCTGGAATGCTCACAGCCTTGTTGTACACACATAGTTGCGCAAAGTTGGAGTATTTAGAGACCACCGGGGTCAGAGAACATTGTTGCACGCGCACTTTTGCCCATTGCGCAGTGAACAAGGTGCCGTTTCATGTGGGCAACCGTCAAACGGTCGGTAAAATACGAACTTGTAGGATGGGACAGCCGCGCGGACATCTAGGTCTGGGTTAGGCCATCGACGAACTTCTTTTCGACGAAAGCCACAACACCAGCACCGACGGACGATTCGTCTCAACATCGCCGTTGTGCCGTCTGCCGTGCAAGTTTCTCTAGAATTTTTTGCGTGAAGACATCGATGGAGAGGAGATTTTCCAGCACGAACAACTATAGACATCGAGGCGGTAAACGTCCGAGCGGAGGGAAGGAATGCCGAGCTAATGTTCTCCGTCGAAACGCCGAAACTCGGAAGCGATGTCGGTGCTTGAGTAGCAACGACACTGGGGCACAGCGACCAACAACATTCGCTGCTGTGTGTGGATGGGCATTTCCGCCACACATCGCACAAAACCGGTCTTCCGCTACGTTCACTTGAACTGCGGGAGCAGTAAACATTTTGTTCCGCCTACAACGCGGGATGCTTCGCTCTTTTTTTGTGCCCCGCGGGGGGTGTCGTGGTGTGGGGATTCGTGGGCAAACCGCGCACAACATGTCCGGCATAGTGCAACCAGCAAAGACGTGGCGGCGGCCGAGATACTTTTGGTAAATGTACTTCAGCTATAATACTCAAGTCCAAAGTGCAACAAAATAAGCACCTACATGTGGCATGTGGTTAGACGACACGAACTCCACACGTTTGCCTGTTGCGGCTTGCTTAGTTGCTGAGCACATACCATCATCGTGACAGTTATTCAGGACAATACATCCTACCACTTCAATACACCAACGCCTATCATCATGTATCGGCCATCTCCTGACACCGCCCGTCCGTTTTTCCCGAGAAACACGGTATCATGATGTTAGGTGTTTGAAACACAGGTTGCATGTTGAGCTTACTCAGGTCTGCGTTCATGACACCAAAGTCGGACAGGTGCGTGTGTTTGAGGTGTGTACTTTGTGCGCGAGTCACACATGTACCAGGGCAAAGGGATGGCGAGTCCATTAGTACAATCGGGATGGACATCAGAGCACGGCTTGAAAGTGTCCTTGCGATTCAACTTGTGGCGACTTTCTCCACAAGGACCACCCGCTGCTGCCCATGTTCGGTCACACGCGTACTTTTGGTGGCACAAGTCCATCGAACACCCGCGTGCCATGACGCCGTCCTTACGCAAGCCCCACCAACAGCAGTAAGCATTCTCTTCAGAGCGAACCTTCATGTCGTGCGTGGGGAGTCCGCCCACACGCCCTGGCACTATTCTTCCATGACAGCGAGCTGTCATCTGAGTTACGGTGGTGCCATCTGCTCCCCCAAATTCAAGCGGAGAGCTAGCATGTGTGCGCTCTTACGTCTACGCTTGTCCCGGAACGATCCGAAACCAAGCCCGCGGATTAAATGGCGGGCCAAGATTGATACATCTACGCTCGATCGGTCTCTCCAGCTCTTGATCGTGGCGTCTCACCGTGGGTGGGGCGGTCATCGGTGCAGGCGATGCGCTCATGCGCGTTGTGGCCACGTTGGCGGACGCCGACCTCCTGCCCATTTGAACGCCGGCGAGAGGGGTGACGAACGCCGTCGCGGCGGATGTGAAGATGGCCAAGAAGGCGAAAGCAGAGAAGCGAGCCATGGTGTTGTGTGCCGTGGAAGATCTCCGTCAGGGGAAAGGAGAAAGCTCGTGAGCGGTGTTGTTGTGTGTAGGTGTCCACGGCAGCAGAGGAGGCAAAAGAAAGCCAAGCTGCGGAGGGCGCGTGGTGTCAGCAAGAAAAACCAGGGCATGTGTCCCCCGGTACTAACGGATTTTGGCCCGCGTGGCCCCCACGTCCGTCCACGAGCAAAGAGAAAGAAAAAGCGATGGTGTCCTGTTGGTTTGTGTAGAACTTCCAGTTGGGAGAGCAGGGACGGGGCATATAGAGCGTTACGGGACAGGACCTGGCATCACAAAGGTGCGGAATGCGCTGGACTTTCGTTGGGGTTGTAGCGCCTCGAATAGGCTATGCGCGTAATATCTCGGAGTTTTGCTGTCTTTTGCCTCTTTTTTGTTTTGAGAGCCATCATCAGGTTGGGGGTGGTGCGCTGCAGAGCGCGATTTGTTGGGACCAAAAGAGCAGAGGGAGTAAGTTGTTCGACATCCCCGCACTTGGATATTGTGGAGTACGTGTGGACCCTGCGCGGTGTTTGGATAGAAAGCTGGCCGCTCCTTGTCTGTGGCCCTGTGGACAAACATCTCTCCAGGGCGGAAGCAACAACGCTTGCTTCCCTACTCTCTTTCCCCGTCTATATGAGAAGGGGGAGAGAGAAGCGCTTGCCACCAGCAGCAGAGAGCACCATCTGCAGGACGACCTCTATTACCAGTCTGTTTCGTGGGGGGCAGGATTTACTTGGTAGTGTACAGTCAACTCCATTTATCAGCACCTTTCTTAGATGGATGCAACTAGAGACAGCACATGGAACCGACCCCCAAGGGCGTTTTTCGTTTGTCGTGCATAGGCTTCGCGCCCATCAAATACATAACGCGTTTTTGAGGAAACCAACTTCCCAACACATTCCTTCCGTACATTCCAAGGATAACAGGCAGATAGATGCGCAAAACGGCTACCACACTGTCTTGTTAACCCTGTTACCGACGGGGGAGATGTCACTGTATGCCGCTCGGAAAATTCATGGAAACACAGGTAGCTTTCACTTACACTATGGATTCATTGCTAATCTTTGACTCTTCTTAGAGATGGATTCGTTGTGTCGTAATATAAAGGGGTACCGAACGAGACAGAATGCAGTGTGGAAGGGGGAGACTGTTTTTTTACCCCTCTTCCGTCGCTCGGAGATCACGCTCGATTTGAGGCCTTGTTTCTCCAGCACAGCCTGGATGCATACGAAAGGGTAGATGAAGCCGGCGAGGCAGTGTGGCCAACGCTCTGTGAATAAAGTTGGCGGCTATCGGACCCACGGCAACAAAACACCCGCTTTCTTCTGAATTCGGATGTACAATGGGAACACACATGAAAACAAACATGCAAAGGGACTGAGTGCTGATTCAGGCCGCAGTGCCGACGGCTGCTAGTAGTCAGTTCCCAGGGCTGATTGCCTACCCGAATGACCGACCATATCACCTAATGGAACGCAACATAAACAGCAGTCACGCTGCTGCGCTGTGACCTTGCCATGTGCGTTGTGTGTCTTGTGTGTTTGTGTTTTCCGGCATCGGCACAGACAGCAGCAGCCCCGAAAAGACGGCTTTGGAAGTATTCACTACTTCGAAGTGCTCGATTGGAGCCCCCAAGTGCATTCCCACGTCGAACTAACTGGTGGGTCTTCCTGGGCTGCTGACCAGATGTCTAGTCCTCTCTATTCTGGCACGCGCACCTGCTGCAGGGTATGGTCAATTCCTTTTTTTTCGTTCGTCGTCCCGACCGTAACTGCTGTACGACTGCCGGACCTTCGCTCTCCGCTACTTCCTACTTCCTACCCCCGCCGGAAGCAATGGGTGCCATGTGCTATCTTTCACGAAGCAGGCGCTCTTGAGTAGTGCATCGTTCCAAGCAGCCGCCTTTTTTTTTTTCAGAGTTGTTCTGGTGCGGTGGCCGCCACTTTGCCAATTTTTGGGCAACGCTGCTGCTGCTCTGTCCCGCCCCTCCTGCTGGCTGCACGCGTACGCTCGGTAGTAGTACCCACAGCAGCAGCAGCAGCAGCAGTCGCGGTATCCATACATGACGCGGCAGCAGCGGCAGTAGCAGCAGCAACAGCAGGCGAGGCATTCGCCCGATCATATTATGTCGGCCACTGTATTCTATGGTTGTTCTACATGCATGCAAAATGGCAGACGGTGCCAGTTTCCAGTTTTTATTCCCCTTCGTGACGGGCGTCGGTTCACCCCTCCTCCGGGCGGGGAATGTTTGCATACTTAATGAGTTTGATGCGATTTGCATCTGTATATATGGTAGAATATTTCAAATAGAAAGCATACATGAAATAAACAGAGGGCTACCCGTTGGAGACATGACCACAGCATGGGTGTTTTTATTTAGTGTCTTCAGTGCATGGGGGAAGAGAAACCTGCTGGAAACTGGGTTTATTTTTGAATGGTTTGCCTGCGCCGCTTGTGGGCAGAACGGCTTTTAACATGATTCCCTGATTCACAGCAGTAGAGGTCGATTTCGTGGATTTTGTCATTCCGCGCGTAGTGTTGTTTGTTGTGGTCATCGATGCTGCCAACACAACACAAGGGTGGGCGGTGTTGAAGAAGGGCGAGGATGGGCGAAGGGAGAACATATTTCATATTTTGGCGAACGTCCTACATGTGTTGTCTACGTTGGCAAACAGCAGCATTGGTGCCTGGTACAGGTGTAGCAGATGGCGCGTTAGTCGAAATGTTCCTCTGGGCACGAAACATCCGAGCATGTGATGTATCCCACACGGCAGGTGAAGGTTGTAATTGAATCGAAGGATAAATTTCCTCCGACTTTCCCCAGATCTCGAGGAGGACCTACGTATCTCCCTGCTGCCCTGTGCTCAGAACACCTCTACCTGCGTCGTGCATGAGTAATGTGATGTAAGGGACGCGCAGATGTTTCGCACGCGCTACCTTCTATCGATCCATCGTGGGAAGCCCCGCACTAGCACTTTTTGCGTTAGGAGGAAAGCTCCGAACGATATCGCGGGGCCCCGCCGTTTGCACCACGGTATCGTCGCTGGCTACAGCAATGTAGGAAGAGTGCGTGGACAATGTTCTGGAAGCGGCGCTCGGCATCGTGTTAGCAGTAGTAGTTGCTGCGTTTCCATCGTTAAGCTGTGGAAAGAGCGCGGGCAGCCCGTTGTTGGCGCATTGACGACTCGCCTTGTGGTCGGTGGCGGTATACAATTTGGCGTGGAGGCCATGCAGTCTCTGGGCAGACCTGACACGACGAAGATTCACCGTTAGTCTACGCAGCAAAATCGATTAAGCAAACATATGGGATAAAGTATTCAATCCGTGCTTTGGGGTTAGGGTTAGGGATAGGGTCTGCGTGCCCCCTCCCTGTTCTTTTTCTAGATAATCTTAAAATCCCGCGTAGGCGGTCCAGATTCACACGACGACATACTTTTCGGTCGCAGCAGTGACAAGGATGAATGCTATTGTACGAGGGGGTCCCTTCCACAGTTCCCCAGACTAAAGCGTTCCAGATCGGGTTTTGCTGGAGCTGAAAGCTTTTTTTTCCGCTGCGGCAAGTCGCGAGACTTTTGCGAGCGGCTCAAGGCTGAAAGCTGTTGCTGCGCTGTTACTACAGTTGCCATTGTATCTTGGTCGTTGCTGTTGCCACCCCTCCCTGTGCGCTGAGAGCACAACGCATCGCAGTGCATCTCCTGGTCCTAAACCTCGTCTCTCTTTTTCTCTCTCTCTCTCTCTCTCTCTCTCTCCCTCGCTCTCTCTCTTTCCCTCTCTCACCCTCTCTCGCTCTC